TTTCATGCTTTGCAAACAAGGAAACCAGTATGCAAATTCTCCTATGCTGTTGCTTCCTGACCCAGCTCTGCTGGAAACCCACAAAAGCGCTGGCTTTCGGCTTTTAAAGGGAGATGAAGGAGAAGGTGAAAGAGGAAACAAAGGAGGGGTCACCACTCAGGGGTGCTCTTCACTTCAGGGCTACACAAGATATTAAAATATCAATTTTTTAGCAGTTATTAAGGTCATGTAATCTCAAGATTGCAGAATTATTTTTGGCACATCAGATGCTTATGAATCTTGCTAAAAGTGCTGCGATGCCCATTGGGGTATTAAATATTTATCTTCGCAAGTTTTTAAAATATGGATTGTTAATAAGCCAGAAGAAAGGGTTTTGCAAGTATTGCAATATTACATCAAACAACAGAGTACTAGCAGAGAAAACATTTTCAAAATTAGCTTAGGAGAGGTGAAAAATGAAACATACATACATACATATATATATATATGGGCAATGAAGCTGGTGAAGGGTCTGGAGAACAAGTCTTATGAGGAGCGGCTGAGGGAGCTGGGCTTGTTCAGTCTGGAGAAGAGGAGGCCGAGGGAAGACCTTATCGCTCTCTACAATTCCCTGAAAGGGGGTTGTGGTGAGGTGGGTGTTGGTCTCTTCTCCCAAGTAACCAGCGATAGGACGAGAGGAAATGGCCTCAAGTTGCGCCAGGGCAGTTTTAGATTGGACATTAGGAAAAATTTCTTCACCGAGAGAGTGGTCAAGCATTGGAACAGGCTGCCCAGGGAGGTGGTGGAGTCACCATCACTGGAAACATTCAAAAAATGTGTGGATGTGGTGCTTCGGGACATGGTTTAGGGGGCATGGTGGTGTTGGGTTGATGGTTGGACTTGATGATCTCAAAGGTCCTTTCCAACCTTAATGATTCTGTGATTCTCTGATTATTCTTCATATCTCAACAATGTCTGCAATTTGTTAGCTGCTTTCCAACCAGAGTTCTTGCACTGAACAGAGTGTATCTTAAGAAGGCAAAAAACTGATGGAAGACAACCAGTTCAAGTTGACAGCAGATACATTTCTTAGTAGTAAAAATGGTGGACTGTTTTGAGGTTTTTTTCCTGGTAATTTTTATTCTATGTTTTAAGTCCTCCAGCGGTGGCATCCACTGTGGTTTTTTCCCTTCCTAGCCCACCGTCACGACAGTCAAGAGTGAGCTGAATGGGACACTCTTGTTGTCCATCCCATGTATACCCCTCCATGTGAAGGACTTGGCTTCCTTCCCTGCTTCTCTTCCCTCCCTTCTAAGCCACATACCTGTGAGAAACCCAGTTGGCTTCTGGCACCTGGCAAGTTTTTGTTTGTGTGTTTTACAAGAAGCCCTTACCATAACACAAATAAAATCCTTCAGAACAAACCAATTTCCCAAAGACTCGCTACAAATTAAAAAACTTCTCAATAAAAGCCAGAAAGACTCAACACTCCACCCCCAAAGCAATGCAATGCCTATGTCCCCAAGTATACACATTCAGGAAACATTATTTTGCTCAAAATACACTTAAAAATGAAAATCTTCTGTTTCTTGGTTGGCTCTGAATACATGTGCTGGCATGACTTAGAAGTGATGGCAGACCTTCATGCAGATTTCAGCACTAGAAAACACGAAGACTCAGAGTAACATGTGATACATACTACAGTTCATTTATCAACAGTATAATAAAAGTATATATACACAGACCCCTATGTTGGGGAGAGGGGGGCAGGCAGTGGAAGTGTGTGCACACATGTCCATGTCCCCCTCTGCGTATTGTCAGCAATTGTAGATCTCTTGTAAAAGATCCACTTCATGTTTTAATTACTGGTGGGTTTTTCCTCCCCTTCAATTATTTGACTCAGATGTCAAACAAAACCTTTTGTTTTGAAACAAAAGAACACAAAACCCAGCAGAAACAAACCACCTAGTGTCTCCAATCAGGTATGACCTAATTCTTAAACCAGGGCTAGCTGAGCTAACCACAACAGCAGAATTGCTTAGTTCTCTACCACACTAACCCAGCATCATGGTTTCCCACCTCCCACTAACGGTACTTACTAGACAAGAGACAAAGTGCTTCCTTTAACCTGAAACAGCTTTGCTAATGCACTCTCTTTTCTCCTGGAACTAATATCTAGAGGCAAAGCAAGCCAAGCTGGAAACTGGAGTGCAGCCCTCCTTGACTAAGAGCCTATGAGCTCAGTAAAAGACATTCCTGGTGATGTCAGTTGGTTTAAGTACCTCTGTTCAAGGCTCACAGATAATTACTGGCAAATCATAAATATTGTCAAATCATAAATATTGTAAAATCATAATTTCATAATCCAGATGCCAAACTTTTATCTTATAGTAGTCTACTGCATTTCTCTTCTCCCTTGGAGAGTGAACAAGTAACACTTGTATCATGTTATACATTATTAGCATTAACTTACAAAATAAAATCTTATATTTTTTGTGCCTGGTTAAACCCTCTGCTCTACCTTAAAATCAAAACTCTAAAAAGGACCATTTAGAAAAACATATCTGAATAAAGATTAGTGAAACATGATTTTCCTACCTGCTTGAACCTACTGTCCCCAGACTCTTTCCGACAGCTGGCAAAGAAAGTCATGCTTGAAGAAAACCAAAGAAAGCTAGTAAATGTAGCAGGACAAAAGACAGGTTTAGGAGTTGTATTCTGTATTTGGATCATTGCTGTTTAGGAGGGGGAAGGAATCAAAGATACTACCATGAACACCGTGTGTCTGAGAT